ATATTTATGTTTGTGGTTGTAATGTGACAAAATATGGAAAAGTTCAAGGGGTATGAATACTTTTGCAAACCACTGTATATATATATATCTTTGATTTAACCAGGTAGATCTCCCTTAAATTTAGATTTTTATGGGAAAATTTAAAGTGTCTCTTAAAAAAGGAGATTTTAAGGTCTAAATTTTTTTACCTATACATATTTATTCCACTCAATTAATATGTTATTTATTTATTTTCTATTATAAGTTTTATATCGTGATAGTATATCATTACCGCCACTCATCATAATGTATATCATGATATGAATTTTTTTGCCATATCACACATTCCTACCCACTGTCCCTCCTCTGGAGATGTCCAAACCATCACAGTCTGTCCTCTCTAACTTTATCTCCCAGTTGTTGATGATCACGTTCCTAATTCCTAATCTTATCCATCCTTGTCACTCACAAGGAGAATCTGAACATCTTCAGCCTTTCCGTTTCCAGTTCTGTCTCGTGTATTTTTTGTCGGTCACTGTCTCCAAACCATACACCACGGCTGGTCTTATTACCCCCTTATAAATTGTTCTTTTGACCTTTGCTGCCACTCTTTTGTCACAAATCATTCCTGAAAATGTTCTTTAATCCACCCTCTCTGGACTCTCTTCTTCATCTCTTTACCACACTTACACACAACACAAAGTCCTGAAGTCCTTAAGGACTTCGTAGGGTAAACATTGTGCTTCCAAGACATTATATGACTGTCCTGAGTAGCATGTCAATGGTCTGACCCATCAGCCTAAAAATAAGTAAGACTTCCTGTTTCTCTATTGCTACTAAGAGAAAATTAGGTTGATTTTTTGGGTTCAATATGGTTTAGATTAGAAGTAAATATTAATACATTTCCCTAAAATTGTTCCAAAATCAGTTTACTGTTGACAGATACCTGAAAACAAAACAAAAAAAAGAAAGAAAAGTTTGAAAGAAAAATTAACCGTGTTTGTCTTTCTCTGTGTCAAACCCATAGACATTATTATTTTACAATACTATTTTCATTAATGAAGACATGTCAGAATCAGATTTATTGAGCAAGTATTTTCACATAAAAGGAATTTGATGTGGTATTGTTTAGGTGCAGAACCTACAATGTGAACAAGAAATAAAAATCAAAAGTACAAATATTTAAACAAAAGATATGAAGTATAACATCAAGATAAATAAATTATGAGATAATTGACTTGATAAGCGTGATGAAAACTAAGAAATGGAGCTACAGACTAGCAGTGCACAAAACTAAACCAAACCAAAACAAAACTGCAAGTAAACGTTCTTGCAGATGAAAACCGTTTTGTGTAAATGTACATAATAGCAGTGCTCACACGGCATTACCATAGTTTTTGTCCTATAGTAAAAAAATGAAGTATGTGTCTAAACTTTTTACAATACTGTACTTTTTCTATTAGGACAGTCGGTGTAATCTAGGAACAGCTGACATCTGTGATTTGTGTGAAGTAGAAAGTTAGCAAATGAGTGCTGTAGGTGGCATATTTATTAATTGTTTTATGTGAAATTAATAATGGTTTATTTATTTGTAGAGGCTTCAAAAAGACATGGCTGCTCAATGCTAATTGCTCGACTGCACTTGAGGGCATCTTAAAGCTCCCAGTTAATTTTATCGTGTTCTGCTCTTTCACAAATCAATACTTGCATTGTTGAGGAACACGGCCTTCTCTTTGTCTTCTGAGTAGGTCAGTCTTCCAGCGTAACAAGGCCTGTGTGTTTGCCCCTGTTTGTTTGTGGCTCATGTTTCTGTGGGTGTGAGAAAACAAATCTGCTCCCAGATAAGTCATCAGTGAACCACATGGTTTTGAAGAGGTTGTGATCTCGACATAGTTGCATTTCGTAAACGGTGCGTTGTGACTGTGTGGAATTGCACCCACTGACATAACTACTTATTCAGGGCTCAACTTTCCCATCCATTATTTTCCTCTGGGTATTACAGCCGGGCCACCCATCAGAATATTTGCAGACGTTTGTCCCAGTCAGCATATTCTTAGACTGTGGAATTTCAGACCAAAAAAAAAAAAAAAAAACATTGATGGGAGTGAATTTTATTATATTCAACCTTTTAAAAGGTTATACAAATCACACTGAGCCTTTTTGTTTTCAGTGATAAAACTTTAGCAAATAAAATCAGTTTTTGACTGGGTCAAATACATTTTTGTCTTCTAGTGTGGCATCTGTTTGTCTTCCATTTCCTTCTTTGAAGAACCCGTTGACATGTCATGCGGCCATGAGTTTTGCAGAGCATGCTGGGAAGGGTAAGTAATTTGTATTTTCTCCAGCAAACACTTGGATTTGATGAAAAACTAGATGACCTTCTAGTTGGGGTCAGGGTTGACTGAACAAATAAATACCTGCGTGAAATAAAGGCCAGCCAAGAAGAAGTGAAGGAAAGGGTGGAAAATGCAATCTTGTCATTAAAGTCTTATTACCAGAGCCGGTTATCCTATTATATGTTGATCTGTTTTATTGTCTTATAATGTAGATGAAAATTGATGTAATGTTAATGACTCATTTTCACATACCAACCATCTTTAATACTGAACCAAGGTAGTAGTTTGTAGCCTCTGTGCTGCCTTTTAGTTCCAACATACTGTCCACAGTGTGCTCTCTCTCTGAATTTAAACACAGGAGTTACTTTGAACGGAAAAGCTTTGTAGCCATAGTTGAACTCACCTGTGACATTTATTGTGATTCTAATAAAAATAAATCCAATTTCAGTTGACTTGCATATAAATATACATGTCTGGGGAATGGGAAAAATGTCAGTTTCTTATTTCATAATTCCTTCTGAGGCATCAGATTATCTCACTGAAGAAAAATATAAGAAGTCATACTAATATTTGTAAAAATGGAGAAAAACATAAGCCTGGCTTGAATACTTAATACCTTAAGCAGCCGAAGTAAATACAAAGCTTTGTTTTTGTTAGAGAAAATGTGGTTTGATTTGTTAACTGTGAATCAGCTGTAGGGTTTTTTGATTTACTTTTAACCTCGGCATGGATTATAGTTTTCCATCGCCACAATGGATTTCCATCATTTTGAACGTGGCGAGGACAGATTTCTGTTGTGTTATTGGGACTAACCTGGTGCTGTTTAAATCTTGTGGCTCCACATGTCTTCAGCTACAGAACAGAAGTCCAGTTGCTTTGTCTTTTTTCTTTTATTTTCCATGTCCTTGATGACTGAGAATCCGTAGAAACCTCCGATAGTAAAGTTGGTCTCGGGCCACATCGATACTAAAGTTACTCAATCGATACTTTACTTCCAGCATGTGGCTTCTCTTCCAAAAATAAAAAAGTTGCACCCAAGCATCCGACCTGAGGCAGGTTCAAATATAAACAGTGAACTAAACAAACATGTCAGACATGTATTGGCTCTGATTGCACAACTTCAGAATCAACATGCTAACAAGTAGCATCCATGGTTAGCTCCTTTTGTAAACAGAGTTGAATGTTTCATCACATCTTTTTCTGCGCATGTGGGTTGCATCAGGGCTGTGGAGAGTTTACACTGGAGTCACATGGAAGTAGCATTTAAAATATAATGTGAACGTCCACCCTAAGTAATCGGAGTTGAGTATTAAAACCTGCAGTGTAAACATAGCATAACATTGTATTCAGGATCGGCCCGTGATATAGGCAGCTAGACTACCTGCACCAGTGGTATTCTACCTTCATTATATACGGATGTTCAGATGTTAGAAATTAGTAAAATGCTCTTCAAATGGCAAGAAAATGCAGTTTTGAGTAGATTTCTTTTTAGGTTTTGAAAAAAAATTCAGTCAAAAGGTAGTTTTTTTATTTTTGCTTCAATTCCTGCTTATGTTTGCAATGAATTTTTGCTTTTGAAGGTTTTTAAACCTAAAAATTCAAGAGGGAGAAGCCCACAACATTTTCTGTCCTGCCTACGATTGTTACCAACTAGTGCCAGTGGAAGTCATAGAAAGTGTGGTCTCCAGGGAGATGGACAGGCGCTACCTCCAGTTTGATATTAAGGTAAATGTCATTTTGTTGTTTTTTTAAATAAACATTTCCTTTAGTTTATTAGCCACTGAAATGATGAAAGACAAGTTGACACTGAAGTGTGAGCCCTCGGGCACAAAGTGTTGTAAAAATGTTTTCATCACTGTCAGCCTCACTAAAGCTCAGTCGCACATGGCGTTCAGCTGCCGTCTGCTTCAAATCATCCTCGCCTCTGGTTTTTGCAGGCGTTTGTGGAAAACAATTCAGCGATCCGCTGGTGTCCTGAGGCGGGATGTGAAAGAGCGGTACGACTGAACACTCAGGGCCCTGGGACCTCCACTGTCGACCCTCTAAGTTTTCCTCTGCTTCGGGCACCTGCTGTAGACTGTGGGAAGGGCCACCTCTTCTGCTGGTCAGTAATTCAGTGTTTTGCAGTGCAGCACTCGTTCTGGATTGTTTTTGTTTTTCAAAATTCCTAATGTAGACCAGGGGTGGGTAGTCCTCAAGGGCTACTATCCTGCACGTTTTATTTGTTTCTCTGCACCAACACACCAGATTTGAATGAATGGTCGAAGCTTCTGCAGAACCTTGAGGTAATTTAATCACTGAATCAGGCATTGGAGCAGGGAAACAAGTAAAACATGCAGAATTGTGGTCCTTCAGGTCCAGGATTGCCCACCCCTGAACGTCAAATAATTTTGATCTGCCTTTTTCCTACTACGTCAGGACTCTCACTGTACATTTTCAGAAAATGCTATTTTAATCCAAACATTAGAAGTCGAATCAAAATTGAATATCCTGGCTGTGTGTACTCTTGTAGTCTTTGACTGTGTGCCAATCTGGGAGGGTGCAGAAAAGCATCTATTGTCCTCCACCTTCTGTTCTCGGTATTCATGATTTTTCCCACACTGCTCCTGCAGTTCCCTTCCCACCCAGTGTTATAACCTCCATCTCACCACAATTAATCCTACCTAATTACAATGATGGTACCTCAGTGCACCTTACTTCATTACACTGTTCTTGAAAGTGGCTGTTGGGTTCACAGAGGAGTTTAACGGACACGGCGTTTGTTCGGGGAAATGAATCGCTCACACACACACACACACACACACACACACACACACACACACACACACACACACACACGCACGTTCAGCCAGACGAATTCCCAGAACATGAAGAGGATGTGCAGTTTGGAGGCACATTTGGCCGGCTGAAGGTTTTACAGCATATGTTTTATAGATGTAATCCTCATTTGTTTTAATTTTATTATGTTGAAGGGACAGAATGGGAGTTTTTCCCTTACCTCCAGTTTCTCTGTCTTTCAGGGAGTGTCGAGGTGAGGCCCACGAGCCCTGTGACTGTGAGACCTGGAAGCTGTGGCTACAGAAAGTCACTGAGATGAAACCTGAGGAGTGTGAGTATTTACTGGGATACACGTTCTGTAGTTTACAGGAATGTTGCATTGTTTGTACAAGTTAAACAAAATCCCAACAAAATGTCAGAGGTTAAGTTTTGTTTTATGGACTCGATGTGAAATTGGTTTATGGAAATGTTGTATACTCTAAAAATTTTTATTCCTATTCTACTGTCCTCAAGGGGTGTAACAATACATCGATCCACATCAATATATTGATTAAATGATTAATGATTCAGTTACATCGAGGCAAAACTAAACATTAGTACAAATTATCTTCAAATGCCCGGTGTGGATTGATTTCAAATGTCTGTTTAACTCAACAATTGTGTTAGATGGGCATATGGTATTACATCATATCAATTGCAGACCTGTGATTTGAATTGAATTGTAATTATATCACGACAGACTTTGTGACTTCGAGAAACATATATCATCCAAACAAATCAACATATCGTATTGTGATAAAACTAGTGATTTAAACCCCTACTCTTTAAGTTAATCTCTATACCAAAGGAAATGTATTAAATTACAACGTTGTAAATTGCTATATCTGAGATCCCAGTTTATTAACCAATCACATTGCTGTTTAGATTTTTGTACATTTGCAGACAAGCTATAGATAACTGGGACCAAGTTGCCTGAAGCTCATTTTTAGTTAACACAGTTTAGCTTTAAATCGGTTAAATGACACAGTTTTCATAATAAATTATTGATTAAAACGACTGACCCACTTATCAGGAAATCGCTGAGTTTTGAAACCATAATTGGACTGGAAGTACAGTGTAGTAGATGATTTAAGTTCCCCAAGTTGCTTCTAAGTGCCATTTTGTTGATGTGACAGTAGAAAGATAAAGGCAATTATTTTGTTGTGGGACCATTTCCTGCTTCGATTTCCCAAGATTCTGTTTCATGTTGGCATTTCAAACAACAGATCAGAGATGCTTTGATAATAGCCAATTACTCCCTCTCAATGTGTGTGTGTGAGAGAGCAGGAGGGAGTTTGAACGTGGGCAAATTGTGAGGATGATTGTGAAATATCTAAGGAACACACATTATTCAGGCAGGACAATTTCCCGCTCACTGTAGTGGTCTGTATTGACGCTGCGGTAATAGCCATTCTCATTTTATCTCATTATGTTTTTATTTGTTGTGCTTACCTCCCTCTACTCCTGTTGAAGTGGCGGGTGTGAGTGAAGCTTATGAGGATGCAGCAAACTGCTTATGGTTGCTCACTAACTCTAAGCCCTGTCCCACCTGCAAGTCTCCGATACAGAAAAACGAGGGCTGCAATCACATGCAGTGCACCAAGGTGAGTCGACAGGCTGGACACTGCATTACAGATGCCAGGTTCACTGTGTGTGTGTGTGTGTGTGTGTGTGTGTGTGTG